TGTGGATGATGTTGGCAAGCTTTCCTAATGATCATCTACTATGATTTAACTTTTTTCTTTCTACTTTTTCTTTCTAAAATAATTTTTATTAATTTAGTATGTGGCTATCAACAGATATATTTAATGCCATGTAAACTACACAGATATTATGTCCATTATATAGAGTGGTCTTTGTTGATAGCTATGATGCATATGCTATTCAAATCCACTGGTGCTAGATAGAAATCCTCTTGCTTCTAAGTGAGTAGATAACGAATAGGACTTTTGAATGCTCTGGACTGCAATTCTTAAATACCAATTAACACCTCCTTTTCAGGATTTGATATTATGAAACCTGTCACTCATTTTTTCTTTGTAGCTGAAATTATAGGAAAAGATGTCACAAAACCTGAATAAGAAAATGGAGAGTATATTGCTTCTAATAGAAGATGTTTGAGATTTGTATGATATAGCTAAAATTAGAAAATATATTTTAAATGTTAAGCAGTTCTATTTCAACAATATAAGACTTTTTAAATGAGTACAACTTTTCTTTTAACAGTTGAGAGTGTGTCTTTGGAGAGTATGGCTCATTAAAGATTCCATTGCCATAAATAAACTCAACCATGCCAAGTTTTATTCTGGAATGCAAGGAAATTTTCACTTCTAGTTATGCAGATCCAGAGGGATGCTGTGGTTGCCTGTTTGTGTTTCCTGACATTGTGTTCTTCATGAGAAGTACAGGGTTGCTTCTGTAGCTGCATTCCATTTTTTTTGTTGTTGTTGTTGTTGTTTTGTTCAGCTTGAACTTGTGAAAAACACTGCATGAAGTGAACAAAATACCAAAAGAACATTCAGGTACTCTGTCTATTATTCATACAGTCAGATTCCTACTTTCGATTCTTATTTCTAAAGGTCTTTTGGATGTATTTTTGTCTTGTTAACATTCCCAAGTCTAAGCAGAGCATGTAATGTTTGCAGTTTTTACATATGTTTTGCAAACCAAATACTTACACTGTTAACCTTATGTTAATTTAACTATTGTTTTCTACTCTTAAACATGCAAAAGCCCACTAGAAGAGTTAAGATTAAAAGGTAGCTTGACAACTAGGATCACTAGCCCACATTAGCACTGCTTTTACATGAACATAATGCTAAGATTTCTTAAGGCCTGTCCAGGATATTTAGTGCCTGTTCTTTATAAGAGTGTTTTGCTGTATCTGGATTGCAAAGAGCCCAAGGTTTGTATAAAGAGTGACAGAAGAATTAAGAAATACTTCTTACTCCCTTCAGACTTCCATTGAAGTACTTCTCACTTCTGTCCTAAACCAAGGGTTTAAACTCAAACCTGTCCTTGCCTGCTGGAGGCTGAGGTGTTAATCCAACACACTTCCCACAGGGCACTGGGGACAATCATTCAGCAGCAGTTTCTGCACTGCAGGACATGGTGTGCCTGACAGCATGCTGTCCTGGTAGAAGTCTACCAAGTGACTTACTACAGCTTATTCACAGGTTGGAAGTTGGATAATGGATGTCTCTCTATCGATCTGGGCTTCAACAAAACTGGAGAAGAACAACTGGAAGGCAAATTTTACATGCCAACAACTTCCCAAAAATCTGGAAGACTTGATGGAGAATTGGGTAGGTAAAAATCTGCCTTTAGATGTGTCATCAGAGAAAAGAAAATAATCAAGTTGTTGATAATAATTTAGAAAGTGTAAAACGGTCTGTAGTGCATATGCAAAATTAACTGGGGTAGTGCTTTGGCTCAGTGTCTTGTGAAGTACCAGTTGCAAACAGAATGCTTTATATTCCCTGGGAAAGTAGATAGTCTTGGCTTTCTAATGATATAAAGCAATTCAGTGCTGCCTTAATGCCTCCAAGGGTTCCAAATCTCGAGCCAGATTCTGTTTCAATGCTCTGTTTCAATGTAGACTTGCTGTTTGGAGGCAAGTGTAGTTTTTGGAGATTAATGTTTAGGAAAGAAAGAGAAGCCTTTGTCTGGCATGCTGTTTTGTGTTTTAAAATTGTAGATACTCCTTGTAAAATGTTGGTGTGAGAAGCCACCATGTGGTGTGTACTTGTTGGTGCTTGTTTTCCCAGAAGTCAGGAGGCCAAAGGTGCATGATAAATGGAGCTTATTAAACATTCAGTTGTTTGGCCAATTATCTACTTTCTGGACAGAGTATAACTGAGAATGCTTTTTGTCCCAGTCTCCTGGATATCACATGGCTAAAATTGACCACCAGGCTTTGTGAACCATTAGTAATGAAATTACTGTTGTGAAAGATGTTGGCTTCTTCATCACGGCTGCATCACTACATTTTCTGTTTTGCTGTTAGTCCCCCACTATATGTGTGCAGCATCTGATTTTGCTGACAAAGAATTGAATAATTAAGCAATAGTCTAGGGTTTTCTTGATCTCAAAGATCAAGAATCAACTAAGAAGTAAAGGGCCTTTTATAAATTAGATCTTTATTTAGATACTGAGAAGGGATAGCACAGTGCATCATGCCTTGAAAGCATGGGCACTTTCCACAACCCTGGCAGTAATCTCTGGAATAATCTCACAATAGTTAATTAACTTTTGGTTTTCAAATACTTCTGTCTTATCTAATTTTTAAGAAGTTCCCCATATCCAGTGATTTACAGCTGAAGAGTTGAGACTCTGTATAACCTAACAAGGAATGATCTATTCTAAACATCAGTTTCCTTGAGTCCACAGGAAGACATTAATGCCTTTACCAGCCAGGGATTTGCCAAAGCACTCTAGATTTTGTAAAAGCAGTTATTATTAGTAATTGACTGGACACTGTATGCACAGAAAGGGGAAAAGGAAAGGTTCTTGGACATGACAGGATTTTCTGTATGGATTGATCTTTGTTTTTATTATCTGTAGGAACTAATGAACAAACCAAAATTTCAGCCAATCTCTTCCAGAAATCTGGATTCTTGTGAAGATGAACATGTAACAATAGTTTTTTGCCAAAATAGGCAGCTATTTCTACCCCATTGTATCCTACAATCCCTCATCTCCTCATTGAGCTGCAGGTAAAACCTTTCTACTTCCTCTTAAACCATTTTGATTACTCTCTCCTTTTGATGTTTATGATTAAAAAATACAATAGGAAGATGACACCTGACAGCAGGAGAGGCTCCTACCTGAGTTATCTTCTGTAGCTATAAACAAGCAGCAATGGTTTCTCCCACAGAGGAAAGTGAGGGAGACCAAAGGAAACAGTGGTAACAATTCTCCACTAGCAAATCTAGAACTTGAAGAGAGAGGATTTACAAGGTTTGTGGAAAGGAGATAAGTAGCAGACCTCAAAACTGAACCCAGGAACCCTGACAAACAGCTATGTCTCTAACTGAACATGCACCTGCAGTGTTTCTTTGAGATTGCCAGCACAGGGATATAAATCCAAGCAAGCAGGGTGAGTTTTTCAGCTCCCACCAAAGAAAGTAGGGCTCAGAGGAGCCTGCCCTCAGCAGGAAGGTGACATTGGACCTGCTATAGGCCAGTGTGGGTTCAGCCCCTGCCACCCCCAGGCTCTGCTACCTGCCTGCGTCAGCCACCTTCTTCTCTTTCTCATATGCCTCTAATCCACCAAACACACACGTGGGAGTATCTAAATTAAAAATAGCAACCCAGGGAAAAAAATGCAGTGCAGTTGGAGAGCTGATTTGCAGCTGAATTATTCATCCCCACATATCCCTCTCATCCCAGGATGTTAGTGCTGGAGCTGCGCAGGTGCAGCCTGGCTCAGGGACTGGTCATGCAAGGGAGAGACAGCAACTTTGTGGGTGTCTGTCCCCTGTCAGCAAGCTAAACCTCCCACCTTTCAGCTCCTCTGTCTTTTTATACCAACTGCTACATGAAAATGCTTTAAACCACCACCTCTCTCCCTTCTATGTCACTCCTTTTGCTTATTACTTATTGCCCAATAACCAGATAAATGCAGCTTGGCTCTCTCCAACCCAAAGAATTGAGTTATTCCAACCTTTTAAAAGGTTATTGGAATATTCTGTTCCATTAACACTAAACTTTAGTAGAGAAACACATAAAAAAGCTGCTTCTGTGCTTTTATTGGCCAGACCTGAGCTGGGGTGCTGCTTTGGTGGGTTGCCAGCTTGAGAAATTGCAATTTGCGAGAGATCTGGAGTGATTTTCCCCATGTATCTGCAGGGGTGACCTCTGGTTTTAATCAGTGCTCTGGTAGTTGTGATAGCAGTGTATGATGTAGGAAAAAAATCTGGCAGTTAATTGTCACTTTTTTGGAAAGAATTTTTGTGAATAACATTTTTATTTCCACCGAGAATCATTCAATTATCAGAGCAATCATAAAAACCTCAGAAGCCAGAAGATTCTGTTACATGAAAGAAAGGCACAAAAAAACCATGGACTTAACTTCAAAGTAGTTTTTATGGTTCCTGGCTGGCCTTTTACTTCCCATGCTTGGTGTGATATATTTGGCATGGCTTCCCTCACCATATTTCTGGTCTGGAGCCTTGCAGGACCCCCATCACGCATCCTCCCTGAGGATCACACCCTAATGTTAAACTCATGGGCCATGAAAGCTGAATGGCATAATAATTAGAAAAAACCCTATATATTTGGTAGTGCCTCTTGGCTTCTAGCAGACAAAACTTTCCATTTCAACTGGCAATGTAAGCAAGATGTTTGTGTTGCACAAAACAGAGCATAGTTCTAGATTGTTCTGGGCAATGTCTTTTATGTGTTCCTTCTCTCCATGGGCTCTTCTGTCTGTGGGGTCCTAGCCCCAGTTCTTCTCTTCCATGGTTTCTATAGGATACTACATGAATACTACCCATCTCATTCCTACAATCTGCTGTCATATGTCACCCATTCATATCCAGTCTAGTCATGGCTGCTTTGGAGGTGTGTTGGTGTCTTAGGAGGCTAATTTTCCCTCACAAAATTGCAATTACTTCATTCTGAATTATAACAAATTCTAAGAAACACCTTATGAAGACATGAGTCCATGTAAGGATGGTCCTACCTCAGTCTGCTGCTGCAGCCATTTGAAAGGGAATATGGTGATGACTTCAGAAGCCTCCAGCCCTCTCCTGTGATCCAAGTATCTTTTCAGCTTCCATCTCAGCCTGAGGTTTGCATAGGTGGTGCAGGAGACAGGGATTGGCTTTGGATGTTAGCCAAAGTAACCATGGGACTGAAGTGACCAAGAGAAATGGGTAGACAGCAGCAGTAAGTCAGGGATTGCCCAAGAAAGCACTTGCTATTTTGGATAGAAATGCTACAGTCTCTCTCTCAAGTTTCTAACCTACTTCTGCAGCTCAGTGATACAGGAGACTGTGCTAGACATCAATCTGGGCACTTGCCTCAGGCCTTCTGCTTTGCTTTCTTCTAGTTGGCACTCACTAGCATCATCCCTTCAGGGCACGGAGATTGTTCCCAGTGGGAGCTGCAGGGAGCAGGACTGCTACTCACAGACACCCAGGCATCCTTTTCTGGAGTGTAAATGCCCAGGCTCATGCACTTGCAATGTAGGGCCAGAAAGAAGCCCTCCAGTTTTCACAGCTCTCTAAATTTTGCTAACTTTGGTATCACCTTGTCTTTAGCTGATAAATCTCAGCTGGGAAGCAGCTGTTCACTAACCCCTGTAATGGGGCCAATTTCTCCAAAAAGGGCCATTCAGCAGAGCATTGCTACTTTCTGTGTTCATGCATATCCTCCATATAATTTGTTTTTTGCAGCTAAACATTAGTTTTGTGTGAAGATTTGCTGAGCAGTGAAAGATAAAGCAGGCTGGAGAGAGAAGAGAGCCACAGAATGCTATTTGTGTGATGTCAAAAGAGCACCAGATTTTACTGTTATCTCTGATGAAATGCTGAAGGGCAAGGTGAGAAAATGGAAATTTATTATCACTGAACATAGTTCTTCTTTCGCTGGACTCACAAACCAGCAGGAAGTAGAGAAAAGAGAGAATTTTGAGTGGCTTTCAGCTGTATATTTAAGTGTGAATCATCCTCCATCTATTGCAAAGTCTTTTTTTTATGTAGTTGAATTTTCATGAAGGAATATATGAACTTTGGCTACAACAGATGTCATCTTGAAGGGTTTTTTTTGCTTTCAATATCTGACTGTAGCCCCAGTATAATAGGCAATATTAGGCTTTCATCTTTCACCACTACTAGCTATAAAATGCAGAGGAGATGATCATTAGCATGAGTGACTTAAGAGATGTACAGCACTCAGTGAGTCAGGATACAGACCAGGAATTAATTGTTGAAGAAATAAAAAAATAATTCAAGGATGTTTGAGAATATTGCAGTCTGTCCAGATTCCAAAGGTCCAGTGCACAGTGAAGATGGCTGTGGTAATCTATTCCACTCTGGCTTCCCTGATACAGGGAGAATACAGGGAGAACACAGGGAGAATTTGCTGGGAATACAGTGGCCAGTAGCAACAGGGGTGGGTCTGCCGTGGAAGTTCTGGCAACATGCTGCAAGGTGAGTGTGGAGGGTGAGGCTGGATTGTGGGAGCTTCCAGTACCAGGCTTGAATTTTCATGAGAAAAGTAGTCAAAATGGTCAAGGTGGATGTCAGAGAGGGGAGCAAGAGCTGGCCAGAGTTTGTAAAAGGTTGCTGGAGGCAACCTTTTACAAACTGCTGAGGAGGAGGCTTCAGTTTTCACAGCCCATCAGTATGGACTGCACCACATGCAATAGGGTGTTGGACTATAGGATGTGTATGCTTGGAGATGAGTGGAGTGCTGAAGAGGCCATGCTCTGTGGCAGCATCCTCAGCCAGAGCCAAACACCCAGGGCTGCAGCTGAAACAGAGCCTTTTAGTAGCTCCCTGCATGATTGCCCTACTGAGCTTTCCTTCAAAATATTTAAATCTCTCCTGAATAACTGTCTTGGTGGCAAAGCCTAACCCCTACCACATTTTAAGGATGCTGGGAGTTCTTTGTTGCTATTATTATTCATCCTGCCCTTTATGCAATGCCAACACTAATGCTGATTTATCTGCTGTATTCAGAGCCTTTTTCAAGACCTCATTTTCCCCATGAGAATATTTCTTACTTATTTACATGGGCGGTAGTGAATCAGGCCATTAGGGACAGGAATGGCCACAAAACTGGCCTGAACCTGCAGGCTGCATAGCAACCTGTACAGTGAAATATTTATGAAAGAGCTGCCCCAGACCTCTGGTTTTCGGGGGATGAAGAAAAGATTCAGCCAATGCAGAGTGTTTCTCTTCTCTTCTCTTCTCTTCTCTTCTCTTCTCTTCTCTTCTCTTCTCTTCTCTTCTCTTCTCTTCTCTTCTCTTCTCTTCTCTTCTCTTCCAGAGTAAGTGCTGGGCTCAAGAGGCCAGAATTTCTAACCACTTTCTGTGATGAGATCATGTCTTTGTAAAGAAATTATTTTTGAAAACCAATCATTGTTTTCTTCTGCTAATTTCCCACAAACTTCTCCTAACTCTCTCCTGTACTGCATCATGCATGTGCCCTCCAGATTATGTTCTCCTGGTCAGTTCCTGTTGATTTCATATCACTGCAGGACAGTGCCCCTTGAATGGCTCCACTGGGGCCTCTGCTCAGCAGATTCCCCTGAGCTTGCTCCGAGTCCTGGTGTGAGAACTGGCTCTAGCAGCTGTATATGTGTAAGAATGACAATCTGGAAGATGGAAATTGAATCAGCTTGTGTGTGCCCTGCTCTCAGAAAGCAGGGAAATGCTTTACATTGTGTTCTCCCAGTAGCTAAGACAAGAGGATTGTTTTTCTTACATGGACTTTGTGTAGCACAAGACTCCAGAAATGTCACTCTGACCGCTGGCTGAGAGTGGACAATGGACTGTCCTTGAGCTTTTGCCAATGGGACAGGGAGAGACATATGGGCATGGGAAGATGTTTTCTCTGTTTTCAGTGCCAGTACTTATTATTTCTAGAAGTACAAATTGCCAAATCTTAAGTGGTGCCCCATTAGAAAGCCATAATTTCTAGTGAAAAGGTTGCCCCTGCCTTAAAATCAAACAAGAGCCTTAAAAGACCTCTCTGGTTGTTTCCCTCAGACCAGCCAGATACTGGGCATTTTTGCAAATAAAGGCTTTCGTTCATTTGTCACACTAAGACTTAATGACTCAATAAAACCGTAGAAGTAGGGGATTAAATGGTCTATTGGCTAACCATTTTCCCAGACTATAAGTGGTTGAACTTTTTATTGCCTTTATAAGAGGTTTATGCCCTAGTTCTGCCCCCAGCCTCCCGGCCACAGGGTTCTTGCCCTCTCTGTGATCTTTTTGTGGCCTGTCTCCAACAGAGGAGACAAAATTCTCCTCCCTTTGTGGATTTGTGGGAAAGGATGATAATTGGCAGTTACTGTTTGTGCCTAATACATTACTGTACATTACTGCCCAAGCAGTATTTACAAAGGTAACAACCCTGTCTGAAGCTAAAGCAAGGGTGCAGCTAGGAGTGACAAAAGCCCTGTCATTAGAGCAAGTTATATTAGGGAGTTGATGTCAGTTTATTTGTCTCTTGGTGCCATAAAAAAACCTCGTGCTAAGAGAGACACAAGAAGAGCTGTCATACATTATTTTACTGATTATAATCTGTGGTTTACTCCCTTGGTTAGCAGGAGGTCTGTGCCTTACTCAGAGGCACATATGAAAGCTTCAGTGCCTGCCTGCAGGTTGCTCCTATGGGATAAGGAAACTCTCTGATCCTGACCCTTAATCTGACCCATGCTGGCTTGCCCTTCCCATTTTAGTAGATTGAATGTCTGTGCCCTTCCCTAGCCCCTTGCAATTGCACATTCTCTCTGCCATGTGAACAAAGGGGAGATTCACACTCCACTACAGGTGAATGGAGCTGGAACATTTGGCTGGAGACCCTCAAGGGGACATTTGAGAATTGGCAGCCAATGGTCCCAGCCAATGGTCTGAGCACTGTTGTGGAACAGAAGTTCAAAAGCTGCATTTGGGCTGGGAGTGGAATAGCATCTCTCTTCATGCCCATGCTATTTGCCTTACAGATTGTCACTGATGTGGGTTATTTTCTGCTACTAACCAGAAGATTAGTTTTAGAGCTACATGCCACTCTCCCATTTTACTTTGAAGAGACAGTACTTATTTTTAAAAGAAATTACTTACACACAGTACGTTTTCCTGGCCATATTCTCTGATAGAAATGTCTGTATTGCAGATGGCAGCATGTCTAACCCTCATGAGACAAATTTCCTGGAACTGAACAGAAGACAAAGTGCGAATATCACAGCTTTGAATAACTGTGCCTGTTCAGTAGAAAATCAGTCAGCAATACAAAACCATTATTTAAGAAAGAAATATCTTGGGCATCCATTTTAAGTTGCATATAAACAGCTCAATCTTTCTCTACTTGGTTGTAGCTGGCAGAAGCAAAATTGGGAGATGAAAACATTGTTTCAAAATGGAAATTATTGAATGAGTTGCTTACTTATGAGAGATATGTTTCTCTGCTGGCACACATAGATGCCCTCTTGTTTCTCCTCCTTCTTGAATTACTATAATAATGAGACAAAATAAAAGCTTTTGCTTCTTAGAGAAATATCAGCTCAGAACTACCTTGCAAGCCAGCAGAACAGGGTCTTGAAGGGCCTCCTGTCAGCTTTCTCCTTGCTGAAGCTGAGTGAAGTAGCTACAAGCTTTCAGAGATGGGCAATCAAACAACCAGAAGGACAGCACAGCTCTAGCTGGACATGCTTATAGTGAAAGGCTACACTTGATGAAGAAGTCTGATTTCAGATTATCTTTGCTATGCAAGTATATTGTAGAAAAAAATGGTGTAAACAAGTTGAGGAAAATAGAGAGAAGCAGGTAAATATAACTGATGCTTTGAGTGTCCTCAGACATCAGGACTACAATGCTGATGTTGAAGGCTTTTGCATTTGGGTTTTAATATTCCTGAATAGCGACAAACTTGTGCAGAGTAGGAACCAAGAGCACCCAAGTGTGACCAGTGCAGTTGAAAATAAAGTATTAGCCCAAGTGATGTATTTCAGAGTGATCTGCTTTTCAGTGGAAGGTATGTGGGGGGATTTACTAATATAAGGGAAAGGGGGAAATTATTAAATTATATCTGAGGAAGATATTTTTCATATCTCTAAAGAGACTTAATCCCAAGGTGATTCACGAATAATAGACAAAGCCCAGGAGCAAGAATAATAAAACTCAGGTTTTTTGGTCCTCTTCTTTTTTTCTTCTTCATTACCCTTCCCACCTTCACACACTGTCTAAGTCTAAAGAAAAATAATCTGCATACAGTAATAAAGGGAAGGTCAAGATGAGACAAAAGTTCCAGAATTCTGCCAGCAGTCAGTGAGATCTTTTCTCTTACAGAGCTCAGCACAGGGTGATGGAAGGAAAACTTCACTTCTTTCCCTGTCTCCATTTCAGCAGGTTGGGGATTTTCCCTTTTAATCCAAACTTCATTTAGTGGAAGAGGCCTGTGAAATTTATTCCTTAGTTACTCTCCTCTGTATCCTTTCCCATTCTGGAAAGCAAGACCAGAATGGGAAAGGATACAGAGGAGATATGTTTGGGATACCACAGGTGAGCAGAACCACTCCCCGTACAAGCACAATAAATATTAAAAACTTCCAGCAGCACAATCTGCTGGCAGAGGAGATAAAACTAATACATGTTTATACAAATCAATATCTTGAGCACAGAAAATACATGGCCCAAAGGCTTTGTTAGCTTTTTTTAGGTTTAGTGTAGGTGGGTGGAAAGCTCCTTTGTGCCTACAATAGAGCAGAATGGCTAATGACTCTGGGAGAGAAGGGAGGTAGGATGGACTGAACACTGTGGATGAATCACTGGAGCATGGCCCTGAGGAAAATTAGGAATCTCAGGGTTATGCTGCCAGGAATGGACTGGTGCCCTGCTTAGGCAGGGATGGAAGCTGCTTTAATTTCTGTTACCTACTCTGATAAAGGAGATAAATAGCTTCTTTATAACTTCTTAAAAGGGTTCATATTGTGAGTTACTAAACAACAAGTGAGGCCATGTGAAATGTGTAGGAATTTTATGAGGCTGAAGTTATGGTGTTTTTCTGTGCAAAATAATTTCAACATCCCTCATGTCATTTGAATTATATCCTCTGTCACTACAGTGAATTGCACATGTTTGTAGATGTCTCCCTGCATATATCTGTGCACATATTTGTTCACATAACAGAACCATCTTCAAATGAACTGCTGAGCACCAGCAGCAAACTGGCTGTAGACTCAGACTAGAAGGCTGGTGAATCTAAGTCATGAGAAGAATTTATTTTCTAAGCATGAATCTCTCTTCTTGATGTTTGCTATCACTTAGATATCTCACATTTTAATATACTGTATCTTCTGTGGGGTGAAGGGTGGGCAAAGAGACTCATGAGAATGACCCCTCCATATCTGAATAAACCCAGTCCATAGCCAGGAACACAAAGAGTGCCTGGTCTTTGTTCAGCACACAGGCTTTCCTGGAAGAGGAATATTAATTCAACAAACCACTAGCTCTGAAAAAATGCTGCCAGCTTGCAGCTTTAGTACTACTCCAGGAATTTTAACCAAAATATTCCTTCCAAGACTTCTGTATTGTGCATATGGAAAAGGATCTCTTCTGACCATGCAATTCATCACCATCAGAAAGAATATGTATAAAATCTTATCTGGCTACAAACACCAACTGCAGAGCCCTTTATAAAACTCGTTATCATGACAAAAAGAGAAAATTATCTCTTCCCAGTTTCTTGTACCTCACTTGCTCTATACATTTCCCCATCTCTTTTACAGGCATTGATTCAATCACCACTGCTTCCACTGACCCAAAAAAAAAAGTATGTGGTGGGCAAGATTTTAGAATTCCTCTCTTTTAGCAAAAATTAGTTAAAGAAGAAAGAATGCCTTTTAATACTTACCTACCAATCTCAGGGAAGATGGAAATAATTTTTCTTTTACCTGTGTTTAGCTTTTCCCCAATATATAGAGGAGGACCTTCTACATGATAGATCTGTTTTTACATTTTTACAATCACTTGAGATGCAGGTCCCCTCTTTACTTTCCAAAAGGTGATTATACCAGGAGGGTGATGTGTATGGAGACTATTTTCTTTGCAGGACCAGATCTACAGAGCAGAACAGCTTCTCACAGCCTCACCTCTGCTGTCTTTGCTGAATCTCACCCATAGTGGGAAAAGTGCATTTTGCTTATCCTGATGAGAAAGGGTCCCTTCGCATTTCTTATGGCCATGGTGAACTCAGACCATGGCACCTCCAAGACCACAGTGTCTCACTGCTCTTATCTAAATGTCTTATTACAAGGCAGCCCTTCTGGAGGAGCAGCAGCTCAGCTAGTCCATGGGTTACCTTACTATGCATTAATCATCTGTGCTCAAATTTTTCTGGCATTTTGCATCATGGTGTGACAATCTCTGGAAATGAAACCTTTAATGCCAAAGCAGCCCCAAACAACTCTCTGCATGCTGGTCAGTGAATCTCAGAATCCTTTAGCAAGAGAAGTGATTGCAGAGTTTTTCTCTGACTCTTGTGACCCAACTGCTACTGAGAAAATTAGGCAGGCAGCAAAAAACACCCACAGCTAATGTCACCCATAGTTGCCGTAGGATAATAGCTGGCATTTTGTCTCACTGGTGACTTAAGGACAGCATCCATGATGCCCAAGAGGTTGCCATACCAGGCTCAGGGTTTAGAAGAGAGATTAGAGGCAGCTGTTCCCTTATCAGTGTAAAGATGGGAGTTCAGGGTATAAAAATAAAATGCAACTGATGATCATTTCCTCAGAGGCAGTAGGCACCTTCAGCAGTGGCACTTGCCTGGAGGAGCAGTGGCAGCAGTGTGGCATGCCCATCCTGTCTTTGTGGAGGGAGCTTGGCAGTGCAAGCCTCAGCCCTGAGCAGTGGCTGCTGGAATCTTCAGGGAGATCTCCGAGTTGCCACTGCTTTTCAGCAGGGATTGATGTTGGGGGACAGCTGCCTCTTTGGAAAAGCTTTGTTTGGAAGAGCTTTGCTATTGAATGAACAGCCATGAACAACCTTTGGAGCTGGTATAAAGGGCACCTACTTTTGTTTTAATCACACAGAATCATTCTTCTGGAAGTGTAAAGTATCCATGCAGGCTGGGCAGAAGCATCTTTTTCATGCTTCCAGTCTCCTTGTCGTAAGTGACCAGAACAGGGCTGAACTGCTCCATGCCTAAGGAGGTCTGATTTGAGTCCTCAGCACTGGGGGACAGCTGCCACAAAAATGCTGAAAACCATGCCTGATGAGCCAGGACAACCATGGTTTTTCCTAAAAAACAAAAATGTAACTAACTTCCACAATGCAAACGCAAATTGAACTATTAAAGACCAGCTGATCTTAATATGTCTTCATCTGGGTAAGCTGTTTTCTTTAGAGCATAATAAATTATAACTGTTTCTGCAAGCTGTCTCTGAACACTGAGATGAGAACAGAATACAAACCGTGGGAGAAATATTTCAATACTTTAATCCCAAGAAAGGGTACTCAAACACTGCTTAAAATTTCTGTGGTGTTTTAATGAACATTTCCTAACATGTCTCTTATTTGGAAAAATCAGATTATTCAAAACAAAATAGCATTAAAAATGGTCTTCAGAAAAAATGTTTTTCCCCTGTGGATGTCTCAGGTTGCCATTATCAGTGAAGCATTTATTGTTGGCCCACAACATTTATGTACCCCATTAAATCTGCCCCTTATCCTGTATCACCATACTTTTTCAGCAGCACATACTTCTGTTAATCATACAAAAGAGTGTGCTTATATAATGTGTTCTTTAAATGTAGCTAGGAAGCTAGAATGATTATGAACATCTAAAAGGAATCATCTTTGGGAGGGAACGAAGCACTGAAAAACTTCATTCCTCAAAATTATTGCATTGAAAAGTTGTGAGATTTTAAAGGGGGACTTTAATGACACCTTCCTGAAGTACTGCTGTCTGATTTATTTTATGTATAGTCTGACCATCTGCCTCGAGAAAGCATCACTGCTAGTCATAACTCATAAATATTACACTGTGTTACTGGAAAGTGCTGGTTTTTTAGACAACTCAATTGATGGTTACCAGTTTTCTAGGTAATTGACATCTTTTAACCTGGCACTTAAGCCATTTATTAATGACAGGATTATGTTGGGTAATTAGGAGAAGGTTGTACTTTAATCCTCATTTTGCCTCAGTTCTTGCATTCATCTTCATTTACATCACTTCTGAAAATCATAAAATCTTTAGTTCCAAGTTTTAATGATATGCAAACTGACATGCCTCAAGTTACATATTTGATCCTTTCTGTTAAGCCCTGGAGCCCTCTGCTCTGCCATTACTGGGCAGCTGTACAAAAACCTTGGGTACTTTCTATAAAATGCCAGGAAGCTTTGTGAAGTGAGTGTTAATCTCTGGTTTGAACATCAGAATACACAGAGTATCAAGCAGAAAACAAAATGAAAACGTGAAGAATGAGGAATCTCAATCACTTAATTCTTCATAGACTCTTGGTCATAAATTAGGTCTAGCAGAATGTATCAGCATGTGAAATATACATGAAAAGTCTCCCAATGGGATCAGCAATTTTAATAGTTCCCATTTACTTAACACTTTCAACTAGTTAAAAAATTGCAGGTGGAAGAACAAGACGGTTACTGGAGGACTGGCAGCTCCTGCTCTGTTCTTTTGCCATGACAATAAATGTATTATATTTAAGGAGAGGTATCATACCATGAAGCAGGGGAGAAAAATGCATATTTATGCAAATAATCCCAGTGATTTCTGTGGAAGTGACACAAAGAATAGGTTCCTGTGGTTCATCTGTGAGGGAGGGGGGTTCTTGTCTGATCACCCTGGATGGGTGAAGATACCAGGGCACTTGCTGACAGTGAGATATATCATCCTTCCCACTGGACCCTGCCTGTCCTAATGAGTGCCTGCCAGACCTCTCTGTGCAGAAAATGGTCCTCCCTGTGCTAAACAGTACATTTAACACTGGCACTCATCCAGAGCCTAGGGAATGTCAGCTGTATGCTCTGTCTCAGTTCCTTTTCTGCCAGGTAGACCCGTAAATGTGATCAAGGCTGCGGATCTTAAAATAGCGTGCTGGAGACATAGCACTCTCCAAATGTTAGCTAATTGTCGCAGCAGCCTGGCACAGCACATGCCTGGGACCCGAGCTCTGCACTGATTAGGGATTCACACACGTGGGGAAGAGCAGCACACATGGGGAGAACGACAGCAAGAGACAGAAATAAGGAGAAAGAAGATCAAATCAGACAGGCAAACAGGGAAAGAAAAACCAGTAGAGTTAGGAGTGTCAGGGATGAAGGCAGTGGCTCACAGAGGATGCATGAGTGTTACAAGCAGAGGACAGGAAAGAAAGGGTTTGATTTCTCCTTGCTTGCACCAGCTACTGCTTCAGTTTGATGCTCCTGGCAAACTGGCCTGTTCAGAGTTTACAGAACACTTTCCAACCCAAGGGGATCTCTAAGCAGAGGATGTGTTTCAAGAAGAAACACAGGTTTCTCACTGATAGACTGGGGGAAGAAACCAGGAGAAAAAAGAAATGCATCTGGAGAGCCCCAGTGGGTGTCAAACACACGCACACATGATCAGTCTTCGTATCCTGACTTCCCATATGGGCAGAGAGCTGCTAAAAAGCCTTCAGACTCCCCATGATGTAGGAGTGCATCCACTCTTGGTTTAGGAATGAGGAAGCACATGCACTTTGCAGTCTTTGTTCACCCCAGGTTTGGGGCTGAAGTCTCTGAAGTCCTGGCTTAGATCTCTCACAGTTCTGGGGTTTCCTCTTCATCAACCCTATACTCACCACAACATGTTCAAGGCATTGTGGTGGAGAAGCTTTTCCCATCTGCCTTGTCAATGATGTGCTACACACACTTGTCATGTCACATATTGCCATAACTAGACTCTCCTTGTAATAAATATTATAGTTAGGCATGTAGTTAGTATTGGAAGGACCATAACTCCCAGCTTTAGCCCATATCTGGCACCTAATACTTGGATTTTTGTGTTCTTGAAAAGCATAATCACAAAACTCCTATTCTGTCCTTCCAATAGTAGAAAGTAAGCCATCATTTTGTTCACATGCAGGCTGCAAAATAGCCAATGAAGATATCTGTATTTCCGCTGAATTGGTGTCTAGAAGATAAAAGAGGTCTGAAGCTGTAAGTTCTCCCCTAAAATCACACTTTGAGAAGCCATGGTCAATATTGCTTTATTATGGTGTTTGCAAGAGTGAAATTAAGCTGTATAAGCATGCTGGGCCAGAGTAGTTGTGCCTCACTGAAGAGCTTCCCTATGCACCTGTTCTTGTAGAAATGGACAGAAAACTCTTTTAAGAGACGAAATACAAATCTGAATCATGGCATCATCAGAAGCATCTCACTGGCTCTCATGAGCTGTGAGCAGGTTACAGTTACCTAGCAACTCCTGCAAGCAGCTTGCTTCAGCTCCAAAGCATTAGGGTTTAAGTGGCAGACGTGGACCTGGCTCTAACTGCTCTATTCATTGTCAGAACACGGTGTTCAGTTGGTAGAAATCAGAAAAAAATTCAGGAATATTATTAAAGACCACCATAGCAGCTTCCAAAGCACACCTTGGGGGCTCACCCTGTTGTGGTGCTGCATGGTGGATGCCAGGCTTTTTGGCCAACTCTGAATGGCAAGCTGGGGCATGCTGGTGAGACAGACAGCCAAGCAAGAGAGCACATGAGTGTCTCACAGATCTGTGAGCGTTGCTTTTAGGTGGCGCTTGATGCTGATGCCCATAAATTTCCCTTTGCAGTTCTGTATTGATCCTAATTGCACGTGTCCAGTTAGTGCACATGTTCTAGGAAGGCAGATGGTTTTAATAGGAAGGCACCAAGCACGGATGAATCGACCATATCCTGCATTCTGCAGCAGGACATCTGCAAGCTTCCCTGGGAATGCCTGCACAGTCTCCAGGATAAAGAACACAGAAAAGCCTGAGCGAGCCAGCTACCAGGAAAACTGCTCCACAGACTTCAAAGTCATCACCACTTGGTGACTCCATCAAGTGAATTATATATTTATTTGTCTTCACATTTTCAAAGAACTGTAACTCTGCTTGCCTTTTCCAACACATGCTGACATATCCTGAGCCATTCACACAGTCAGGATTTCACCCAGATTTGCCACTTACACTGGCAAATCCGCTATGAGACACCTCCTATTTCTACATGTCAGTATCCAAGTTGTCTCGTTTGTGGGGGAGCCACGAGATTGCAAAAGTCTGCAGCAGATAAGGGGTGAACTGATAGCAGTCTATACTGAGTAACTGAGGAAACACAAATTGCGTGAGAATGGTGTAACACAATAGATGATATTATTTATAATCTCATCAGGCTTTTCATGCCTTCTACTGCTTCCTCTGCAGATTGTCATAGATTTATTTCCACAAGACAGTCACAGTTTCTATTCAATATTAAGGTGCTTTTTCCTTTTCTTGTTGAAACACTGAAATTCTAGGAAACTCATCTATCACTTAGGTGTCTAGCCCTTTTGATGGACTGTTCTCAGAAAATCCTTCATTAAAAAGAGCTGAGCTGTGATGTTCCTTCTCTCAGTATTTTCATCACACTCTCCTCTCCTGCAAGCAAGGAGGATATTGTTGTCTTGACTAAGATAGGGTTTGATGGGGTGATAAATACAGATGTAGATAAACTGCCTTGAGCAGGGCAGAGCAGCAGGTAAGAGGAGCCCTGTGTGTGGTGTTCCAGGCTCTGACACCACTCCTGCTTGCCCACAGGTCCCTGGGGACCAGCCAGAGAGCATGGCTGGTGCACATGGGTGTGCCTACCTGTGAAAGGAGGGCTTTTTTGTCTTGCCACAGTACCTGGATAAAGATAAACTATATCTTTATATATGTATATATAAACTATATGTATATATAAACTATAGTATAAACTATATATATACATATATAAACTATATGTATAAACTCTGTATCATTACAGAGTGGATGAGTTTGCAGTCATATCAAAGAGGTGCATGAAGAGGGAGCAAACCATCCCCTGGCCATGAAACCCAGTGGATTGGGTCTGTATTTCACCACACCAAGCTCACAGCTGCATTGCTGCTATTTCAATGTCTTTCTTTAGAGGAAGGAGGGTGGGAAAAGAGAAATTTACTCTCCATCTACAGCTGTTACTCCTCTGTCTACTGCAGTGGTATTAGCATATCTGAAAAATCTTAGTCCCCCAAAATATGTTACACAGATTTAAACAAAAAATATGAGGCCCAGGGATGAGATGAGCCATTTATGAACACACTGACTAACCTTTATCAGTTTTCTTCTTGTTAGTAGCTTCATAGGTGAAAATGCAGGAGCAGCTGTCAAGGAGCAGCTGAATGGTCCACCCATTACCACATCACTGATTCTTCCATTCCACAAGACTGTAGAGGAAAGATGACCATAAACCAAGTAGTAAACAAATAGGAGATTTGCCTGCTCATAGAAAGGAAAATTACTTCTTATCTTTTTGTTAGTAAATTGAGTTTTCTAGAGACACAGAAGATTAAAACCTTACATGAGATGGGACTGAGAAAATATTAAATTGATATTTTATCAATATATAGAAACATCTAATCCTTATTATAGCTTCACTAAGTTCTTGGTTTCAATAGTTTTTGCATCAGGTTAACTGTACTTTCAATAAAACTGACTTCCTTTTATTAGATTTCAAATTTGTTGCCTTTAAGTTAACATCTTGTTCTTCTGTTAAGTTAACATCTTGTTCTTCTGTTTTATGACCTATGAAAAAGGGTCATTTTACCTTCTCCATGGCGGACATGAGGAGCAGGTAATATGAATCTGTCACATCCCTCTTATCCATGCTTTCTCTCAATTCAGCATTGCTAATTGTCCCAGCTGGTTTAACTGCAAAAGCTATTCCAGTCTTTTGAGATACCAGCTTCTCTTTCATCCGTCATGGTGCTTTAACTGTGGTGATCAGAGGGAGGATGTACCACTTGAGTCTCACAATTTAATGCTTTGGGGGCATCTAGGCTGTCTCAGGCATCTCAGCTGTCCTGGGAATGACCGACTTCACCTAAAGAAGATGGCAGAAATTTTGCTTCACTGATGTGCCCATGGCTGGGTTCCCCTAGCAAAGACAAAAAGTAAAAATGAATGGTGCTGTCCTATCTAAAGACTTCAGAGAGAGAAGGGACTGATTGTTCTTTAGCCTTCCATTTTTCTTCTCAACAAACTGTTAGGAAAGAGTAGGAGCTGCTAGAGACATAGCAAGAATAACAAAAATCCTTGCAGTGCAAGATGTGTGGAGGCTCGGAGAGTCGTGGTACCATCTGTGCCTGTCTATTTACAGCCAGAACAACTAACGCCCAGCTAATGGTGAAGAGGAGCAGAGCATCATGTCATGGAGACAGCTCTCTAATCTTACATAAAAGCAGCTCTCTGAAAAACCTGAATTGTTCAGATGGAGAGAGGAACAGTCACAATTTACACTTAGGAGGATTTATTTATGGAACGGTAGAAACACCTTTTTGTTTCAGCCACATCCTTTAAGTAGTCTTCATCTGAGATTTCCAGGCAAGTTTGGTCAGTGCTTTTTCATCAATACAAAGTTTAGTACACACAAAACACGTCATTACAGAGAGATCCATGGTTACAGCAAAAGATCGGTAATGAGGGGAAAGCAAGTAAGCTCTGAAAGCAGTGTGTTTGTTTTGATTTCAGAAAAAGATTTTTATATTTGCAACAGCTGCTGGATGCAATGAATAGGTATTTACTCAAAGGGAATGAATGAGCTTTTGCTTTCATACTTTTCAATGACAATATGTTTTGAAAACATACATAAGACTGAAATTTTAAAAAATCATATTAGAAAGGAAAACATAGAGTTAAATCCCCTGTATTTATGTCAGTGGAGTTGATCTCATGGATAATTTTAGGCTCTCAATCAATATAACTCCAGCAAGGATGTGAGACTGGATGGGAAGCAATTGGTTTTGGGTGAAAGGGTTGCAGGCAATTATCTACCAAAGGAACAGAGCTGGGTGCACAGTAAAGGGGCAGGGACATGGTACACTCTGAAGCAGGAGACACAGCCAGGGAATGGAGAATGTGAGGACCAGAGAAAGTCCCAGATGAAGGAAATAAGAGGTAGAAAGGAAGGAAAAAGCATTCAGACTGAGAGAGTTCCTGTACAAAGGATGAAAAGTCCTATGTTTGTGGCAAAAAAGTCTGTAGAATAACAAATTCAGTTTTATTCAAATCTGTTATATCTAAAGAAGTCTAGATAAATCAAGACTTTTTCTTGATTCCTAAAATATATATGGATTTAAGAACTCAGCTTCCATAATTTAAAGTTTTAGATACTAATGATAAAAAAAAATCTACCTGATTAACATCTGAAGCCTTGAACTCTACCAGAAAGTATGCTAAATTTGATTGCTGTTCTGTCTTCATTAGTTTTAGTGGAGCAGGGATTCAGTCCCTTTCTCCCTTTATGTATATTTTATTTATTTACTTTTTTCCAAACAGATAGGTAGACCTCTAAAAACTCACAAAACCATAATAAGAAATTAATAAAACCCACAACACAAGAAGAACAAATGATCACAATTAAGACTAGGGACACTCATAGTCACACCCCAGTGGATAGAGGGAGTATCAAAAGCTCTGGAAGAAAAGATGAGCTTTTAAGTGTTATGTGTGCTCAGAGAGACAGGCTCCTGCAAGCAGCTGGTCATTTTCCCTTCTGACTGTCAAATTTTAAGTGATGAAGGAAAAAACAACTCAATTCACTGATAAATTGTGATGCTCCAGCAATGTTCCGTGACCATACAAATTTCTGCCTTGAAACATGTCTGGAGACTTCCACCAGCCTCTCAGTACTCTAATATGTGCAGCTCAAACCTTCTAATTAACAAAAGTGCCTCTGAAGATTGTTCCACCAAATAGATGCAAATTACTCCTTTAATTTCTTTCTTCATTAGATTCCTTGTTTCCTTTGATGCTGCAACGCCTTTTTCTCCCCATGACAACACACCAGCGATGGCTGATAACACCTTGAAAGTAATTGCTAACATTTGAAATTTTGCTTTGTGTCTTGTAAGAACTTCTCTTTACCCCATCTGGGGATTCTTCCTATTCCTTCTTCAGCTTTTTGCAATCCTCAAAGAATTGACTTCCCTTTTCTCTGGAATTGCAGGACTCTTTGCTCTTGTTCTCTGCATTTCCTCACCCCTGCTTTCTTTTTTCTTCCCCCCAAGGTGTTTTTAACCAAATGTGCAAATAGCTATCAGTCCAAATTATGCTGTTTGTACATGCCTGCACTGAATGAGAAAATATCTCTTTGTTGGAAAGGATTGGAAATAGAATTAAATACCCCATCTCCTAGCAAAAGTTAAGTTTCTTTCTATATATGATAAGAACTTACACGTCTCAATATGTAGTTAGGGCTATTGCACATTTTCATCAAAATAATAAGATTTTTTAGGCAATTATATATGTCCTATAGTTATTTGGTAGAAACAATATTTTCATCTCACAATATTTTACAGAACCAAGCTCCTAATAATACAAAAATAAAGATACTTGAAATAATTTGGAGTGATGCAAGTTACAAAAAAGATGTCCTTGGCTATTCATTGTCTGTGTTTTATGTATTTAGGTTCTTGGCAGTAATACCTTTGGAATCCAGCAGATTTTCCTGCTTTTATCATTTCTTGGTTGTTTCTTCTTTTGCAAGCCAAAGATAAGTATTGTAAGCACAGGAAAAAATTTTCACTTTTCATTTGTCAAAGTTAAAAATCGAGCTTATTCCATAAAGCAAGCACAGGATTTACCATCGCAGCACAGCTACCCAGATCTCACATGGGAGTGTGATCAGAGGAACTGAATGTCCTACGTGGGCTACAGCAAAGGAATTTTTCAAATGCAGACATTCAAATTGTGCTATAATTTGTCTATGGAAGAGGTTATGAACACATTCCTTTGTTTAACCGACCAGCATATATCAAGGATAGGTTATAAATTAAGTAACACTGACTTAGGCTTCAGTGTACTGCCAAAAATAAGTATACCATGTACTCTTAGAATGGAGTATGGAAGGAAAAGCAGGACTTAATCTGATGGTACAACGAGTTATTACTGAATCCATCCAACTTAGTAATTTAATCATTCAGTAATCAGTAATACTGAAAGTAAGTAAGTGTTTATGCATACTACAGAAGAGGTGAACATGGGAAGAGATGTCTTATTAAAAGAAGCAAGATAAAAAGCAGTATCTGGAATGAAAAGAAATCATTACTAAATGGCAAGAGAGATCCATTTGATGTTCAGCAAATCCCCTTAAATATTGGCAAATATTTCTGGGTCATGCCAGTTTTCTGGAGTATAGTTATAAACATGTAATAAGGTATGACTGCAAATCTCTTGCCTTTAGAGAATTTTAGGAAACTGGTTACCCTACAGCACTGAAATCACAAATTAAGGTTTTTCAACTCACAGAGCAGTCAAAGGAAATGGGTATGTTAAAAATAAAAACTCAATCCTCTTTCATTCTTCAGATATCCCGTAAGAACAACATTGGGATGTGGGGTGATTCATTCAAGGAAGTCTTTGTTTTGGGTTGAAGAAACAGAATAAGCTCCTTAACCTTCTGCAAAGTTGTGGTGGACTGGCTTCAAAGAGCTCTTCTTTAAAGAAAGGGACATTGTTTTTCACTGACTGTGGCAGAAAAAGCCCTTTTAGTAGATAACAGAGGTGAGTCCACTCCCTGCAGACTGTGAACCATTTTTCTTCTGAAGGAGAAATGATCAGATCATAAAATGTACATACCTTAATATGCACATATATATCCACAGAAAATCACTTTGCAAACAGCTGTACCATTCCAGCTGCCTGTCACTCCATTTGTATTGGTTGCCACTGCTTCAGCTCTGCCAGAGGAAGGGAATGCTTGTGAATGCTCCCTCACCTGCTTCAGAAAATAATTCTGGTGGGGTCAACTTCCTTTATGGATGAATATGAACCAACAGCCACAGGCAGATTAAAGAGAGCTGACAAAGCAGAGCAGGGCACAGGCAAACTGGTATACTGGTATTTCCAGGTGCTGGGCAGCTCTCAGTCTCCAGACAGCCACGAGCAGCACCAAGGCTGTTCTCAGGCAGCACTGCTGGAACCAAGAAATCTGAGCATCTGCCCAGAGCTGTGGGCAGATATGGGCACAGGACAAAGACTGGGAGCTCACTGTACAGCTGACAGCATCCTGATACACAAGAGTAATGACCCTGTTTGGAAAACATCCCTGAGCCAAACCTGGAGCACTTGTAGTGATGTACTAAACACGCTGCTGAACTATGAAGACAGCCAGAGAACTTGCATTAACATCACCACTACTGAATAACAAAGGACAATAATTAGTATGATACTCCACTCAGAAAAATAATGTAATACAATTTTTATATGGATTTTTTTTTTCAAAAATTAAGTTACCTACAGGGAACAGGCAGGTTTTCATTGATTTCCTCATCCTTATGTATTTTCCCTTCAACTAAAATCAATGTTATTTTAGATTTGATTCCTCTGGTTTCTGTTTACATTTTGAAAAATCCACTGTTGAGTTACAACAAGTGTTACCATGTAGTTTTCTGATTTATTAAACTATAAATAGAGAGACTTCCTTTCCAGGTCCTGTGCAGTTACTGTAACTGCTCAAGGTTGAATATTTAGTTTGTAATGGAAACTCTACAGGGTGATATAAATATACAACAGGATAATCTGATATAAATATACCACAGGAGAATCACTATGTAGGAAAATCTAGATAAGTCTATCAAGAAACACACAAATATAGGCATTAGATTACATAAATCTAAATAAAGAATTAGATTATCTCTTTGTGTCTGGTTCTGATGGGATATAAACAGGTGTGTCCAGCAGTAGATAGGCATTTGTTTCCTCCTCTGAAGAAAGGGAGTAAAGTTTAGGAAAGGGTCTAAATATGTCAGTGGATGGAAATGAGAACCTGAATTCATTAGGAGGTTGGACATCAATATTAGTTCAGTAAAGACTGTGTTAGGTTTCACAAACTCTTCCCATATTCCAAGACCAAAAATACACTTCACAAAGCCACTTAGTTCTTGAGATTCCTACAGGCATTTTTATGTCTTTGATTCCATCCCCTTATGAGCTTTACTTGAAGTTTCAGCTCCACAAGTGCCAAAGTCTAAATAATGGAAGCGAATTGATCAGAAATGATACCTGCTGTTTACTCTCACTGTTTGCCTTTCACATACTTTAGAGTGACACACAAAAAAATCTGGTTGGCAAAAATGGCACAAGCCTTCCTTAAAAGATTTTCTTCCCTTGAAATGTTTTGTAAAAAATTTCTGCTAGCCTCAACTGATGCTAGACTCCAATAAGTTGAAAGGTACCCTGCTGTCTGTAAATCTGGAGCTAAAAGTGAGGTGAGTGGAGCTAGACTTTAGATGAATTTTCTAACAAAAAAGATTTCTGTTTAGCTCATCTGTAAGAATAATTTTCAAGCAACCAGATCTGCAATGAGGCCACAATCTTCATTTTACAATATATTATTTCTATCTCATTTTTTTGCTCCAGAATTATCAGTCCTCATGCAATGTGTTCCCCCTTCTCTGCTGAAGGCTCAGGTGTCTCTATAAGCTGAAAGTTGCACAGCCTTTCCCTACTTTTGTGATCCCCTGTACTGCATGTCCAGATTGGCTTCTCTGGCATTGTGGGCTGAGAGAAATGCAGCAGCACTGCTCCTTGTGCACAGGGTGCTTGTTGGTGGGGCTTCACGCCCCTAGGAGCCTTGCTAAAACACGTCCCAGCTGCAGGGCTGTGACTCTTGTCATCTCATGGACCAACACATCCCCTGTGGGAGACCTCATGTCTGTGTGTGTGTGTGTGCCCCTCATGCAATCCATTACTGCAGTGCCCTTCCCAGTGACTCACTGTGCTTGTTTCTCCAGCAGGAGCACAGCTTCAAGCAGGCAGAAAACTAAAGCCACTGAGGTCTCAAATCAGTCATCTCAGAATATTCTGTCATTTCTGGGAGAAATCTGCAGTCTGTACTAACCCTCAAGCTCAATAATATAACAAAATAAATTAGCTCACGGTGAGCACTATTTTGAAGTGACTAGTTCATTATCTCCTTGCCTAGGGGAGAGCATTGACAAAAGGAAGAAAGATCCAGATATTTTCTGGATTCTTCCTTGAGATAAGTTACAACTTTAATTAAAAATGCTGCCTGGGAAGATGGCTGAAGTGCAAAGCCTCTGTTGGTGCCCAGAAAGGAAAACGTCTGTCTCCTCAGAGGGTAGCTGTGCACACGTAGACTATGTGCTGCTTTCTCTGTCTTGATTTGGAATGGTGAAATGGAGTTATATTTATTTTTTAGTTTTAGAAGAAATTCAGGATTGTGCCTCCCATTCAGGAAAAAAAAAGCACTGCTGAAAAACCCAGGAGCACCCACTGTCTGTCAGCCATGGCAAGCGTTCCAGGTGCTGGCAGAAGTGGTGCTGGTCCTCAAGCAGCCCCTACATCACCAGGTGGCTGTTGGCAAGGCTGCAAGGCATTCCTCCCCTTCCCCACATGTACATCCAGCTCCACCTACATGGCCTTCCCCTCCTCCACAGTGCTATTTGCAGCTGGAGTCAAGGCCTTGTGTCCATGTGCATTGTAAACTATCCTTTTGAGACAGGCTGGCAAAGAAAACACCAGGCTTCGGGATGAATGAGCTGGTTTTGGAGGCAGCACCTGTGCTGGAAGGAGCACCCAGTGATTTAATTCCAGTGTAACTTCCTCTTGAAGTCATGTATTTTGTTAATTTTTGTCTATTTGGGGATCATTTTCTTCATCTAGAATAGAGATGATATTTCTGGGACATAAAAGCATCTGCCTGGGAATGGGAAATGGACAGCACCATGAGTGCTGCTTTGATAGACCCAACAGTAAACTTCTACCCAAAAGACCCTGAAAAAATTAAATAAATGTATGTGAGGCAACAGCTGCTTTCTTTCTTTCTTTCTTTCTTTCTTTCTTTCTTTCTTTCTTTCTTTCTTGAATGCCAAATGCTGTTCCAATTCTTTAGTTCCTCAAAATGTTTCCAGAGATTTCTGTCCTAAAGCTGCTTTGCTACTATCATCTGCTTCTTCATAGCTCATGCAAACCATCACAAGTCTTCTCTGCTGGGGCAGGATTGCTGATAACATTCCAGGACATTCAAGATGCCTAAATTGATTCCTTCTGCTTATATAAAATTTGCTCCTTTTGGGCAGTCATGATTATGTTTGTGATAAGTGCTTACTGCATGAGTTCTTCCTTTGCCTGGGAATTAATGTGTTAGAGGCCACAGATGTGCAGCACACACCTGCAAGTCCCTTCATGTCATGAGGATGTATTTGCATTATCAAGCCCTCCCATCCCTTCAGGCTTACTGGTTCCACATCCAACAGAACATTGCAAACTTGATTTTGAAGCAAGAACGGCCTAATAAGAGGGTTTAGAAAACAGGAACTAAAATGTTGACCTCATTTCTCATGAGGTGTCATAAAAGAGTGCAGCACTGAATTATATTCACTTGCTTGGCCTGACAGATAAACTATAGGTATTTATATTATTGGTGGATCTTCACAAGCTCAGGAGTTCTATTCATATTCATCTCACTGTACTAAACATGCAAGGAAGGCACAAACTGTGTGACCTAGAGCCCAAATCCAGAAGATGTGGGTGCTGTAGACTGCTTCCCACTGTGACTGATGCTTGTGTGTACAGATGAGAGCTCCAGAAAAGACTCTTTTCTGAAAGCCATGTCAGCAGGTGGATGACAAGTGAATGACAGATACCTCTGGAGAAGCAACAGTGATATTAGAACTGGGAAATTGCTAACACAAGCATTGGTGTTATAAACTATATCCAAATTATCAACAGATCTGCTGCGCTGGGATGATGTACAAAAACTGACTTGGCCTTTTTGACACACACTGGGACAGGCTGCTGCTTAATTGGGTCATTATTTGCAGTTTAGCGAGGATGCATTCAGTCACTCAGGTAGCAGTGTGTTACCTAGCATTTTAAAGTTTAAATAGTTGCAAAGTCACAGGGTCTTGACAGCAAATACCAAAAAGGCCACAAATTATATAAGGGAAGAATGGGGGAAAATCTCAGTTCAGTAAAATGTAAGCTTCCAGGAATAGAATTTCTGTTGAACTTATTCAGTAGAGTATTTCCACTTCATTTTTTTCTTTTTTACACTACTTAAGACAAAGAAATGGCATGAACTCATCTTTGAGGTATCAGGTTATCCACAGGAAGTTAAATTTAAGCTATCAGAGTCTTTTCTACACCATCAAGCACAGCTATTTCTGTGATATATTGCCCTTTTCTGTAAGTCAATAATAAAAAAAATGCATCACATTCTTTACTCTCTTTTCAAAACACAGCCATAATTGATGCTATTTCCTTCAGGGAAAAAAGAGTGTAAATAAAAAGAAGTAGCCAAAATTCTTGAATTTGGTTCAAGAATTTAAAGAATTCAAATTTACCAATTTGGTAAATTGGTAAAGCTGCAAGTCTTAAAGCCTTTTAGTGTCCTGGATCACTCTTAATAAATATTATACTGGACCAAATTCGAACTAGGAAAACTGATACAAAATGTGGCAAAATTTGGGTTCAGATTCTCAAAGACACTGCATTTAGCCTCCAGAGCTCAAGTCTGATAAGGCTGAAGTGTTGCAGAGCAACATATAAAAGATCTTTCATAACAAGTCCTTTGTTTCACACAGTTATAATTTGTTGTGGGGCACAGACCCAGTGTTTTGATGCTGCAAAATGGTGTGAATAGAGTTTGCAAGAATTCAAGATCAGAGGGTCAAATTCTTTGCTTGGGATATCCTCCAATTCATGCCAGACCCCCTTTAAGGTGGTAAAGCTACAGCATATCAGAAATAGACCAGTTAGATTAAATTGTAGTTTGCATGGAATTTTGGGCAGGAAAGTCAAGGAGCAGAGAGAAGAGAGTTCTTACCTCATGGGAACATATTCCTCCATTTCTCCATAATTTCTGCCTGCAAAGAAAGTTTGGTCAGACACCTGCTACTTTGCTGATATTACAGGCATTAAGTGCTCCTCTACACCTTCCCATCCATTTCTCACTTTTGAACAAAGCTTCACATCAAAGCATGCATTAAAATTGGAATAAGGGCCACACAAAAGTCTTCAAATTATACATCTGAGTGACTGTAAATGCAGTGCCATCATCTTCAGTCTGTTAAACGTGGGTTCCAAAGGTGCACTGAAGCGTGCTGCTTCTAGCTCTCCCAGACCACATCAGTGCTTGCTCTTCACCCTCTGCATTGTTGAGGTAAGAGCATGTAAGAAAAAACTGTTTTGGTTTGTCCATAGGATAATTACATGACCTTTAGGTGAAGCATGCAGAAAACACCAATTTTATTTAATGATTTGTAAAGTGGCTAGTTCCAGAAGAAATGGGACAGGTTAGATCATGTTTCTAGATGACCTGGGAAACATTTTTCAGCCTCCACTGGGATAACAGCTCAGCTGCTGATTGCATAATTCATTTTTATCCTGCCCAGCTGCATACAAAGGTTAAAAAAAGATATAATTAGTCTCCTTCTCCGTTCCCACCTCTGGCCCACACAAACCCTGTCTCTTATTCAAACCTGTCATTGTTGGCAGTATAATCCAGGTCTCCTGAAAAGAGGCAGCAATGAAAAAAATTATGGTAATTTAATTCAGAATGATCCTTCCTTTGTAGTTTTCACATTACTTTTGCAGATACATCTATTAATAACCTGTAGGAATCAGCTTCTATTTACGTAGCACTTTTCTTCCCAAAGGGCCTCTGAGTGCTTTGGTAACCTTAGGGATCATTTCATTCTTTCCTGACAAATGAGGCTCAGTTTCACCTTTATGGCAGACTTCAGGCAAAGGATGGGGAGAGAAGAATACTGAGCCTGCCCCCCCACACTCTGCAGAGCCTCCAGCTCCCAAAGTGGGGTGCAGGTGTCCAGCAGAAAGTCTCCTGCCCCACAAAGGTATGAATTGTTGCTCCAGTGCCTGAGGCTCACTTTGTCTTTCCCTCCCCTCTGGCTGCACGGAAGGAGCTCCAGCACCCAAGGAGACTCACACTGCTCCTGTGTGGTGATGCTCCCACCCCATCAGCACTGAGCTCATCCTGAGCAATGGCTATGGTGTCAAATGAATTATTTATTCCATTTAATCATAAAAGCACAGGAACCCTCTGGGAATTGTTGGGGAGAGAAATCCCACATGACTCTTGCTGCTGTGTCTCTATGGAGTTTTTTTTGGGCTACAGAAGCACCCACAGGCACCCCCAAAACTAGCTGTCCTTGTGCTAGGTGCTGTAGTGACATCCACTGAGTTGTACCTCAGTGCTACCCAGTTAAAGGACAAGAGGCAATATGCACGTGCTGAAATAAAGGAAATTCCATCTAAGTGTAGATGGTAAAAGACTGGCACAGATTGCCCAGAGAGGCTGTGGAATCTCCATCCTCAGAGGCATTAAAGACCTGACCAGACATGGCCCTGAGCAAGCTGCTCTAGATGAACCAGATTAGAGCAGAGGGTTGGACAAAGTGGTCCAGTGGTCCCTTCTAATTTGCCTACTCTGTGCTTAGCTGTTCTTGCTTGCATAGAGCAAAATGCAGGACATATTCCCAGATGTTTGCCATCACAGGTTGAAGACGAAGGAAGAAGTGGCAGAATGAAGCATCCTGTTCTGCCCAGTTACCAGACAGGTTGCTCAAAGGATTAGGATTCCCTCCAGGATCTTTTCTGACCTCTCCAGGGTCTTTCACTAGACCCCACTGGGGCCAGAATACAGAGGGCCAGGAACTGCCTCCCATTCAGAGCTCAGTAGTTACAATGAGCTTCAAAAATTCTCAGTACACTGCTCAGTTTCAGCATGGCTTTTATAGAAAACTCACAGGAAAATGAAAATAAGCTTTCATATGAACATAATATTATCTGTAAAAAATACAGATATAAGTGTATGTTACTTTTGGGGTCCTTCTGCCTCAGGTATAGGCATTCAACTCTTGGAATAGTTTCATGGGCTACCAATGTATAAGAGCACTGCCAAAGTTACCATCCATATATTTTTCTAGTACCTCTTGTAAGTCCTTTGAAGAGAGCTGAATGGATCCAGGTGCAGTCATACTGCAGGTATAGTATTTGCATAAACAGTGATCAACTTCAGTGGTGAGCCCCTGGAGATCTTCATTTAGTGCTGACAGTCCCTGTGGGACACAGGAGTAAATAATTTTTGTGAAACAAATACTTTTTGAAGGGATTTGACTTCAAAAGCAGTTTCTAGTAGCTGAAAAACATGACCCAAAAAAATCACAGAGAACACCATTATTTCGGCAGGTGCCTGGCCATATTGCAAATGAATTTATGGTCTCAGACCTCTCCACTCTCCTGTCTTAATCAGAAATCTATCAAAACCAACAGGTAATGTTGATGTAAACCTTGTAATCTGGCCTTTGGAATAAATTGTTTAGCATTCCTATCCATACCTTTTTGTGGCCTTGGCACACTGGATACAGTATATTATGAGGAGTAGAAGAATCTGACCATCTGTGAGTGACCAGATGTAAACTCTCTATAAGGATTTTTCTAACAAAGCTGATAATCAGGGCAGTGTTAGGTGTGTAAATGAGCCAAAGGCATGGCCTGTAAAGTTGGTACAAAATTTATCTTTGTTGAAATCAAACCATTTAATGACAACTTAAAACTTTCTAGTTCAGTTTTCAGTGATGTAACCAACCCTCTCACCTTTTTAGTTCTGTTGGGTTCTTGTAGAAATGCTAAGTTTAATGAAAAGCTTTTGGTGTTATTGCTTGATCATTGGCTTTTGTATGTATTATCTTCTGTATTTTGTATTAAATAATTAGATAATATATAAACATGATATTGCAGATGTGGGATATTTGAGACATTAATTTGATGAAAAGTCTATGCAAAATTAATCAAGATAGTACAGCTGGTACAAAGCAGTTTCTGTTATTGACATGACAGTAGTAAGCCAGCTCCTTAAAATCCATATTTCCATAGCTTGGAAACAAATTTCTTTTGAATTTTAATTTCCTGAGGAATTTAATTTTTAAGTTCTACCTCAGAATGATTTTATAGTCATTTATTTAAGGTCAGAGTGGCCTGTGGAAGAGGCCTCACCCTAAACCAGTTCTAATAATAGTAAACAAGAATTTTCACAAAAGAAGCTCTACTGCCTTGAAACTGGGGTTTTTTGCCTTCAAGATACCTTTTTCAAACATATCTCAAGCTCCTCTTTTCAAGAGTGACACAAAAATCCTCCCAGTTCTTGTGTCAATTTTCTTCCAAGGACTGCCAAAAGACCACCTGTGTCAGTCATGCCTCAGATTCAAATTATATGGACAGTTTTGCTTAAATTATATAATTTTCTTTTACCACTGGGGAAATCTTTATACCATATCATGTCAATATTTGATGCTTAAAGACACTATTTTGAATAAGGAAGCAATGCTACAAAATTAACCGTATAACTTTCACTTATCAGTAGAGCCTCAGTGAGTCCTGTTCATTAAACTCATCTTTGCTCCTTACATGTGCGTTCAAAGGTATAAAATTATGGGACAAAAATAGCATCAGCATTTGTAAAATCTCTAGAGAAAACCAGCTGCTGGTGTACATGACAACAGGGAGAACAGCTGGAGAGCCTAATACCCACTTCCTCCGACCACATAAAACCCAAAATTTCTGTCAAAGTAACACTAATGCTGCGTACTTCTTCCTAATTTTGTTCCTATAACATGATTTTCTCTGTAAGACACTTTTTATTTTTTTGTTAAAATGTGGCACTGAGCTCTGTTTCCCCTTATGCAATTACCAGTTTAACAAGCAACTACCTTTACTTAACGTTCCTGCAGCTTCCTTCTTATCACCACCGACATAGCAAATCTGCCTTCCAATTTGTAGGCTAGAAGCAGGGAGAACAGAAGTGAGATAAAAATGCCTCTGGACTGAGACTGTGCTCCTCATCTCCTAGGACCAGCCACCCAGTCGGCCCATTTGAGCAGAGCTGCTGGCAGAAAGTGAAAATGAACTAAAACAGGTCACTTTGCCCAGTGAGAGATATTGGAGTCCCAGTTAGGCTGTCTCAGAACTGGTAGGTACAAGCCATGGAAGAGAAGGACTGGGAATATTGGTTCAGATATTACTGCAGGCAGAAAACCTGTGCTGTCTGGGGAAACTTCTGCAGCCTTGTGAGTCAGGGTCCAGCCTTCTGGATTTGACATCAGTGTATCAGAAAACAAAATCCCTACAGGGATGATAACGCAGCCAAGATGAAAACAGAAAGTCCAAGAATTTAAAATGGGGTTTAAAAAAAAGTTATATTGTTACATTGCACATATTATATACTGCACTGCACATAAAGGCTCTGACATCCATTCAGAGATGCTTCAGAAGTCATGATCAGTGGATTAACATCTATCACTTTGTAGCACAGAGAAGCCATCTGTTTTACTGTAGGCAGGAATATGTGTACTGGCAGACATCAGTGTCAAGAGATAGGCATCAAAATCCAACACAGAAGCATGAACACCAGTTAACAGAAAGGAAATGGAGGACTTCTAAACCGGGATAGTCAGGTAATCCTGAATCAAATTTCTGAGCAAACTGTTTCCCCGTGGAATAGAATACTTTCTCTTCTGTCATTGCACTTGTACATATGCAGTAAATCTGGGAAAACAGATTTTGATCTAACCTGCTGCTTGCAGAAGCTATTGATCTGGCATGAAGAAGCAAATGTAGCCAATGAGTATTTTATGTAAGGGATGAAAGCTAATTCAATATTTAAATATGCAGCCAACACAATGGAAATAATATTCTCATAAGGCATTAGGCTAATTAAAGTATTATAAACTCTCTCTCAGATTATCCACTTTATTCTAGTGGTCTAGTGGTGTCAGCATCCCTGACCATCATGGCACATGCAAATCCCATGGAGATTAATTAAATTTTCCTGTAATGCAATAAGAATACAGAGGATTATTTTTAAATCCAATTTTTATGTCTATGATTTTATCCAACTACAATGGGTGCAACCAAAAGCACAAATATGAATATGTCACCTTCTCATAACTGTGAGTTTGGGATTTGTATAACAGAGCCTGGAAACCAGGGGGCCTTGGCAGTTCCACCAGCACAGTTTGCTGACTGCAGCAGGATTAGGGCACAGTGGATGGGTATAGGTGAGAAGAGAAACAAAGCCTTCATTCATAGCTAGAGCTTGAGAAGAGGAGCCTGAATACAGTTACAACAGGTTACCACTTACCAGCTTTCATGAGAAGATAAAAACCCAATTGTCAGCTCTAGTGCTTCACAGAAACACAGTAAAAAGAGCCTAGGGCAATTGAAATTATGTGGGTGATGGACTTGTGTAAATTAGAAACAGTAGCATTTGACATGATGGTTTAAGCAAGAAATCCCACAAACTAATTTAAGATAAAAATCTTTGGGCTGAGATGCATCCCTCTTTAATTTACAGAATCAAGCCAAGATATCATAAATATCCAGGCACACCTAAACCTGGTCAGTTCAGGAAAGAACCAGGCACAAAATATCAGAGGCTGTATTTCCTACTTGTCTTGTGATTATTATTTCGTGGGAAGCACAGGTAATGCTGAGTGAATACGAAACTCTTAGAGTACAAGCAGTTTGTACTGCATGTATTTTCTAAGCATCTCCTTCTGCTTCAGAACATTGGGAACATTTGCATGAAAATAGAAAATCTTTTTCTCTGAAGAGCTGGTGTTCCTCTGCTGCTTGTTCAACGCATCGGGCTTACAGGAATTTGCTCTTACTTGCTTACCCCTGCACCAGAGGTGAGTCTGTAATGCCATACAGAACAGCATTTGTGAGTGCAGGGTCCTGCTGAAAGCAATCAGCCACCTTGTTCATATGCTGGCTTTGTTGGACTAGGACAGAAGTTCTTTAAAAGTTAGGAATCAAAGCTCTGACTCTCTTGACTTCCATGAAGCTATTTCAGCTTAGCAAAGGTGTAAGTCTTGAGGTTTGAATGACTAATTATGGCTCATACCAATTGTGGCCATTGCTGGGAAAATAAATTGTATAAGCAAGCAAATTTCCTGGGAATTAAGAATATTTTATTTCTTTTTAAATCTGATTCTTATCTAACTCAGAAACAACTGACAGTTTTTTGAATATGACATTAGAAACTGTCTGCTGTTTTGCAAATAATAATGATGCTGGACTGATGAGTGCAATGGGCAATATTAGCACCTCGTCTTTGGCAGCTCAGGACTGCTGCCCAGCTGAAGGAATGGGTGGGCATCAGGCTAGCTGTGTATGCTTGGATGACTCAGCCCCACTCACTGACACTTCCACAAAGAGTTAATGCTGTTCTGCTGACTCACTGAGGCAGATGAATCTCTTTTCCTGTTTGATGTACAGCAAAATGTCTCACTGGAGAAAGGACAGCCAGCAGGCCACATAACAGGGGGCACACATATAACTGCTCTGCTGACCACCAAGTGGTACCTGTGTGCTGCTTCAGAATTCCAGTCTGTTTCTGCATGCCAACAGCTTACAGCAGCTCTGACAGCCCCAGTCTAAGGTTCATACACTGTCTGGAGGCAGAGAAGAGTTTAGCTTTTACTGCTAATTTTACTGATGATGTTGATGCTACTGTACTTCAAATGTCACTGATTTGTTTCATGCAGCATCTCCAAAGTATCACAATTCATCTGCTGCTGAAAGTCCTAGCCAAGGCTTGTACATCTCCCCTTTTGTAATCTCCTCTCTGGCTACACCATCTGGAGCTGTTCATTCACATGGGCACATCATTCTTTTTCCACAGTTCTCTTGTCATTTCTCCTCTTTTCCTGCTCCAAATGCAAACTCCTTGTTCTCACTTTCAAAGCCTTTCACAATTTAATCATGCCTCATACCAGTTCTGGTATTTGTTATCCCTCCACCCACCCTCACTTTGTTGACTGCAGCCTCCACTTTTCCTTCTTTATTCCACACTTTCTTTTATGGCTGGGGACAAAAGCCTGCAGTGAAAGCAGTTATGTCCACGCTGTAGATTCCCTTACAATGTCTCTGTCCTGTACCGCAGGGCACTGAAGAACCAGCTAGTAACAGAAATACACAGGATGGTCAGGGCTGCTGCAGGCTGGCTAAGGAGCTGCACACAGGATCTCCTGAACCCAGATTCTCTTCTTCTCACTTATTTTTGGGAAAAGTTCCTTAGGAGATAGACTGTGACTGACAGTGTCATGCATTTGTGTGTCTTCTGCAGGACAAAACAAGTTTCAAATGGCCTGTGAACTAGCTTGTCTTCCTCTCCTCTGGAACAGGATTGCTTCACAGTCCAAGTTCCTTCAGAGGGAAGCAAGATTCTATATTCCACAGCTGCACTTCAGAGCCACTGAGGTACTGAGGCGACACTGGATGCAAGCACCAAACCCACATGTGCTTGGAGCAGACTAATACCAGACTTTTTCACCTGTTTCTTTTTCTCTACAGAGATAAATAACAGTAAAGACAAGCCCTAGAGCCATGTTCAGAACAGGCTGGGAAATAAAGTATTTGTAGAATTAAATGCTTCCCAGGGAGCTATTTTTCAATGTATTATTGTAGTAAATGTTTAGATTTTCCAAAGGCAAACTCATAAAATAGTCATTAAGCAATGCTATTTTATGTACAAATATTTTGCAGAACAATTTAATATGCAATCACACCAAATGTTTTTCCATTCCTGCTACCTCCACAGCACTGGCATTAAACAACTAGTCTTTACTGGATCTCTTTTCCTTCAAGAATGGCTATGACACCTCAGGGCTTGCTCAGAATCCCAGGGATCATTTAGACATTCAGAACATCTGTGCTTTAGGAACACATGATGTCAGACACCTGGTCAAACCCACCCTACAATGGCCTTTAGCATCTGGTAGTAACTAAACCTGAGTCCTGCAATGTGTGGGATCAAAATTCTTACATTGCCCTTTAGTCCTATATGAGGTTTTTTTAAAATGACCCAGATTGCTGCTCTCTCTACCTGCAGCATTTAATTTGGATTCTTTCTTTTTTCCAACATATCAGCTCCTAAATTTGCCAGTTTCAGCCAAGCTCCAACACTGGATAGGTTGGCTGGTGAGATAAATATCAGGCAAATAGGTTATAAATATAGTCTGGCTCCTGGCCAATAAAATATAAAATAAGCAAGCGTGGTAGTTAAGTAGCTACAAGAAAAAATAAATATAGTCCAGGCCTCAATCTTGCCTTAGCTTTAGAAATTCAGTTGGGAGGAAGTCCCACATGAGTGAGGGTTTTGATCAACCTGCAAATAGGAACCTAGGCAAGAACATGAATCCAGTCTTCTGGAACAGTGCTTCATGTTAAATCTGACCTTAAAAACTTCATTGTATAAATGGAATACATCAAAGCACTGCATTTAACACTCTTTGTAGGGCAAACTAGACCTATCCAACCTATATGGGGTGGGGGGGATTATATTTTGTGATTACATCAAGATCACATTCAGCTGTGGAGGTGCAAAATTTGTTTAGTGTCTTATACCCATTCCCACAGAATCTTTTTTCCCCCTTTTTTCCCCTTTGATGTTTGTCTAAAAGCCTCAACCTATATAAAGCACGTTACAAAAAAAGTTCTGAAAGTCTATTAATACATTCCTGTTAGCGTTCTCTGCATATATTTCACACTGATCTTTAGAATTGAAACAGTGTTTTCAGTCTGTGCTCGTACAACGCAGTCTGGTGGGATACCAAAGATGAGTTTGTAAGCAGTCCTGAAAGCTCCCAGAGCACTCATCCAGCAGGCCCTCTACCTTACTGATACCCCCTGATGCTCTGAAAAATATTTTCCTGATTTCTAGCAATCATATTTACAGATGGATTCCACTTTGTAGCAATTGCCATGGGTAACTCCTCCTCAGTACTCCTTCT